CATTAAATTGATATCATTTTTAGAATAAAAAAATTGTAACCCTTTATGTTTGGGTTGTTAATAAGTCAGTTAATTAGTATAAATTGTGAGGTTGTGTATGATTTTGGTTACAGTGCACAGTATAATGTAGATGTATTAAATCAAAGTTTTGAAAATAAGTTTAAAATTCTTAGTTATTTACGTGGACATTATCCTTCAATGTATTTACATTATCGACAAAAACAATTATTAGTTCCTTATAAAAGAGGTATAAAGAATCTATCGGTAGATCAACAAGAACAGCTTAAATCTTTAGATGATTATTTACTTGATACTAATCAAATATTTGATAAATTAGAAGATAAATTACTAAGTGATATTTACATGATTTCTTATGAGTATCTTAAAAGAAATGGTAAAGTTGATCAAACAATAAAGATTCCATTAGAAATGAATCCCGAAGAGATAAAAGTTTTAAAAGATAATCCAGATTTAAATTTCGAATTACCTGAAAAGTATAATATTGAAATTTTTAAATATATTAATGGATATGCTGATTTTTTATTAAAAGATTTAATTGAAGAGTTATTTAAAAAATATCCAGAATATAAAACAAAAGAGTTAGTCAGTGAGTTATTTGAATCTTTTAGATATTTAGATTTTATTAATAAGGAAGAAAAGAGTGTTATATCACCATCTGATAATCTTTCTCTTTTGAGGGATGTAATTGAAACTAAGTTTCTTTCGTTGTATTTTAATAATTTTAAAGGATTTATGACAGCTGGATTGTTTGTTTTAAATGTAGAAAAAAATTTAAACAATACTGAGATTCTTAGAACTATTGACAAGGAAGTTATACTAAATTTTCCTAAATTATATGCAGTTAAAATAGATGATACGTATCAGAATGAAATTTTCAAATTTGCTTATTATCTTAAAGAAGCATTTTTATGTTGCTATGATTTAGTTACTAACAAAGAAGTTGATGAATCTAAAATTTCTAAGATTAAAAATGATCTTTATGATGATAAATGTAAATATTATGAAAAAAGATCACCTATAAAACAAGAACATAAAGAAATTACTTATGACGCTTTTCAAAAAAATTATCAAATAGAAATAGTTGATAGCATGATTCAACTTGTTTCGTTTTTTATTGAAATTGCTGATAAAAAAATTGATCATTTACTTTATGATGTTTGGGATAAAATTTATAAAAAATTAATAGAAGAATTTAAAGACAGTGAATAATTTAAATAAATTTTATTATAATTGTTATATGTGTTAGATTTGGTTTTCTTTAATTTATTGTTTTTACTTATAATTTAATAATAAAATTTTTTTAACATAACTGATTCATTACAACACTTATAAACTAATTTTCTAAGTATTATAATGAATCAGTTATAAAAAATTGATTTTTTAATTTTAAATTAATTTGTTGTGATCAAAAAAATCATTCTATTAAAAAATAATTTACTATTAGAAATTAATCTCATTATCATTCTTAAATATTTATATAATAATTTTATTTGTTTTTATGAACAAAATAATTCAATTATCAATCAAATCATGATTTTTTTATTAAAATCAATTTTTAGTCTTAAAAACAAATAAAATTATTATAAACAATTTATAAAGTTGAAATATTATCTATAAAGAATTGATTACTTATTTATTTATATAAAAAAAA